TTGTCCGTTAAAAAAAAAAGGTTCAAGAGAATTAAAATCACAGATTGATGCTTTTATTTCATTTTACAAAATTTCCCAACTTTTCTGGAAATGGGGTTTGTACATAAATATTTTTTTTGTATGTAACTTCTATAAACTTGTAGCGGTCTGAGAACTCACGCGTGTGTTGTTTCTCTCTGCCTTGAGCTCGGCGATCTCCTCCTCTCGCTCCAGAAGCTGCTCGCGACACATATTCACTTCCTTTGTAAGAGCAGCAAATTCCTTCAGCGCCATGAAACACAAAACAACATTAAACGGACTTCAAGTTCCATTCTGAAAGATGGTATAGTTGACAATAATATAATCCAGCAGGTTATCAAAGGAGCTGTTCAAAAGCCTGTTTAGATTGCTAAAGGTCTATATTTCACTGTATTGAAGATAGTCTGAAGCACTTCATATCAAGCATTTTGTGCAGCTCAAGTCGTGCTGCACCTCACTCTGTGACCTCTGCTAGTCTTCACAAGTGTTTTGTCAATGGAAATGCATTATTCACTGATGTTAATTCATGCAACTGGCAGGAGTTTTCCATGCAGAGACCTGATTAATTGGTAATTTGCATAATCATATGTATAAGTCTATAATATACCTATAGACTAAACACATAATTCGCATGAGCACACTGTCACCGTTATCACAGATTCACGTTTTTGAAGTTTACACTAAGATGATACATTTTTCAAAAATTTAAAAAACTTGCACCTTGGAAGCGATTTCAAAGTTTGTCTCGAGCCAGACACTGTTGCCGTGCAAATTAACAGCCAGAACACATTAAAAGTTTTCTGTTTTCAGTTAAAACGGTGTCGTGTTAGCGGACCCTAAGTTAATAACTAATGATCTTTGCAATGGGAGTGAAAAAAATCAAAAACTTTAGCTGGACAATAACTTTACTCTCGAGCTGCTGTAAAGCCAAAACTATCTCTGGTATTTTAATTTCATTTTATCACTGTAATCTATATTGGTGAGCGCTGTATAAATGAAGGTGACTTGACTTGCAACGACGATCACAAAGCAATAACCCGAGGGGTCACGGGTCCTGACAGACCCAGATGATGACACTGTGTGTGTGACGTGTGTTACCTGTGGCGGTGTGTGTGACGTGTGTTACCTGTGGCGGTGTGTGTGACGTGTGTTACCTGTGGCGGTGTGTGTGACGTGTGTTACCTGTGGCAGTGCGTGTTACCTGTGGCTGTGTGTGTGACGCGTGTTACCTGTGGCAGTGCGTGTGACGTGTGTTACCTGTGACAGAGCGTGTGACGTGTGTTACCTGTGGCAGTGTGTGTGACGCGTGTTACCTGTGGCAGTGTGTGTGACGCGTGTTACCTGTGGCAGTGTGTGTGACGTGTGTTACCTGTGGCAGTGTGTGTGACGTGTGTTACCTGTGGCAGTGCGTGTGACGTGTGTTACCTGTGGCAGTGTGTGTGACGTGTGTTACCTGTGGCAGTGTGTGTGACGTGTGTTACCTGTGGCAGAGCGTGTGACGTGTGTTACCTGTGGCAGTGCGTGTGACGTGTGTTACCTGTGGCAGAGCGTGTGACGTGTGTTACCTGTGGCAGTGCGTGTGACGTGTGTTACCTGTGGCAGTGTGTGTGACGTGTGTTACCTGTGGCAGAGCGTGTGACGTGTGTTACCTGTGGCAGAGCGTGTGACGTGTGTTACCTGTGGCAGAGCGTGTGACGTGTGTTACCTGTGGCAGAGCGTGTGACGTGTGTTACCTGTGGCAGTGCGTGTGACGTGTGTTACCTGTGGCAGTGTGTGTGACGTGTGTTACCTGTGGCAGAGCGTGTGACGTGTGTTACCTGTGGCAGTGCGTGTGACGTGTGTTACCTGTGGCAGTGTGTGTGACGTGTGTTACCTGTGGCAGAGCGTGTGACGTGTGTTACCTGTGGCAGAGCGTGTGATGCGTGTTACCTGTGGCAGTGCGTGTGATGCGTGTTACCTGTGGCAGTGTGTATGACGTGTGTTACCTGTGGCAGAGCGTGTGACGTGTGTTACCTGTGGCAGTGCGTGTGATGCGTGTTACCTGTGGCAGAGCGTGTGACGTGTGTTACCTGTGGCAGTGTGTGTGACGTGTGTTACCTGTGACAGTGTGTATGACGTGTGTTACCTGTGGCAGAGCGTGTGATGCGTGTTACCTGTGGCAGTGTGTATGACGTGTGTTACCTGTGGCAGAGCGTGTGACGTGTGTTACCTGTGACAGAGCGTGTGATGCGTGTTACCTGTGGCAGAGCGTGTGACGTGTGTTACCTGTGGCAGTGCGTGTGACGTGTGTTACCTGTGACAGAGCGTGTGACGTGTGTTACCTGTGACAGAGCGTGTGATGCGTGTTACCTGTGGCAGAGCGTGTGACGTGTGTTACCTGTGGCAGTGCGTGTGACGTGTGTTACCTGTGGCAGAGCGTGTGACGTGTGTTACCTGTGACAGAGCGTGTGATGCGTGTTACCTGTGGCAGAGCGTGTGACGTGTGTTACCTGTGGCAGAGCGTGTGACGTGTGTTACCTGTGGCAGAGCGTGTGACGTGTGTTACCTGTGACAGAGCGTGTGATGCGTGTTACCTGTGGCAGAGCGTGTGACGTGTGTTACCTGTGGCAGAGCGTGTGACGTGTGTTACCTGTGGCAGAGCGTGTGACGTGTGTTACCTGTGGCAGAGCGTGTGACGTGTGTTACCTGTGGCAGAGCGTGTGACGTGTGTTACCTGTGACAGAGCGTGTGATGCGTGTTACCTGTGGCAGAGCGTGTGACGTGTGTTACCTGTGGCAGTGCGTGTGACGTGTGTTACCTGTGGCAGTGTGTATGACGTGTGTTACCTGTGGCAGAGCGTGTGACGTGTGTTACCTGTGACAGTGTGTGTGACGTGTGTTACCTGTGGCAGAGCGTGTGACGTGTGTTACCTGTGGCAGTGTGTGTGACGTGTGTTACCTGTGACAGTGTGTATGACGTGTGTTACCTGTGGCAGAGCGTGTGACGTGTGTTACCTGTGACAGTGTGTATGACGTGTGTTACCTGTGGCAGAGCGTGTGACGTGTGTTACCTGTGGCAGTGTGTGTGACGTGTGTTACCTGTGACAGTGTGTATGACGTGTGTTACCTGTGGCAGAGCGTGTGATGCGTGTTACCTGTGGCAGTGTGTATGACGTGTGTTACCTGTGGCAGAGCGTGTGACGTGTGTTACCTGTGACAGAGCGTGTGATGCGTGTTACCTGTGGCAGAGCGTGTGACGTGTGTTACCTGTGGCAGTGCGTGTGACGTGTGTTACCTGTGACAGAGCGTGTGACGTGTGTTACCTGTGGCAGAGCGTGTGACGTGTGTTACCTGTGGCAGTGTGTGTGACGTGTGTTACCTGTGGCAGAGCGTGTGACGTGTGTTACCTGTGGCAGTGTGTGTGACGTGTGTTACCTGTGGCAGTGTGTATGACGTGTGTTACCTGTGGCAGAGCGTGTGACGTGTGTTACCTGTGACAGTGTGTATGACGTGTGTTACCTGTGGCAGAGCGTGTGACGTGTGTTACCTGTGGCAGTGTGTGTGACGTGTGTTACCTGTGACAGTGTGTATGACGTGTGTTACCTGTGGCAGAGCGTGTGATGCGTGTTACCTGTGGCAGTGTGTATGACGTGTGTTACCTGTGGCAGAGCGTGTGACGTGTGTTACCTGTGACAGAGCGTGTGATGCGTGTTACCTGTGGCAGAGCGTGTGACGTGTGTTACCTGTGGCAGTGCGTGTGACGTGTGTTACCTGTGACAGAGCGTGTGACGTGTGTTACCTGTGACAGAGCGTGTGATGCGTGTTACCTGTGGCAGAGCGTGTGACGTGTGTTACCTGTGGCAGTGCGTGTGACGTGTGTTACCTGTGGCAGAGCGTGTGACGTGTGTTACCTGTGACAGAGCGTGTGATGCGTGTTACCTGTGGCAGAGCGTGTGACGTGTGTTACCTGTGGCAGAGCGTGTGACGTGCGTTACCTGTGGCAGAGCGTGTGACGTGTGTTACCTGTGACAGAGCGTGTGATGCGTGTTACCTGTGGCAGAGCGTGTGACGTGTGTTACCTGTGGCAGAGCGTGTGACGTGTGTGTGATGCGTGTTACCTGTGGGAGTGTGTGTGACGCGTTTTACCTGTGGTGATCTTGTTACCTGTGGGAGTGCACTGTTGAGCTGTCTCTGCAGGGAGTCTCTGTCGTGGCTGATCTCGTGGAGTTTGCTCTGCGTCACACACAGGTTCTCCTGCGTCTCTCGGAGTGTGTCCAGCAGCCGATCTCTCTCCTCCAGCATAGACACCATAAGAGACTCAAAGTGACCCTCAGAGTCCGTCTGTCCGGGAGAGCCGGATCCGAGAGCGCCTCCATTCCCACCGACCTCCGCCTCGCTGATAGTGGGCATCACCTCGCACATCATCTACAGACAGCAGATCAGATCAGTAACCGACAGAAGATCAGATCAGTAACAGACAGAAGATCAGATCAGTAACAGACAGAAGATCAGATCAGTAACGGACAGAAGATCAGATCAGTAACAGACAGAAGATCAGATCAGTAACAGACAGAAGATCAGATCAGTAACGGACAGAAGATCAGATCAGTAACAGACAGAAGATCAGATCAGTAACAGACAGAAGATCAGATCAGTAACCGACAGAAGATCAGATCAGTAACGGACAGAAGATCAGATCAGTAACAGACAGAAGATCAGATCAGTAACAGACAGAAGATCAGATCAGTAACAGACAGAAGATCAGATCAGTAACAGACAGAAGATCAGATCAGTAACGGACAGAAGATCAGATCAGTAACAGACAGAAGATCAGATCAGTAACAGACAGAAGATCAGATCAGTAACAGACAGAAGATCAGATCAGTAACGGACAGAAGATCAGATCAGTAACAGACAGAAGATCAGATCAGTAACAGACAGAAGATCAGATCAGTAACGGACAGAAGATCAGATCAGTAACAGACAGAAGATCAGATCAGTAACCGACAGAAGATCAGATCAGTAACCGACAGAAGATCAGATCAGTAACCGACAGAAGATCAGATCAGTAACCGACAGAAGATCAGATCAGTAACGGACAGAAGATCAGATCAGTAACGGACAGAAGATCAGATCAGTAACGGACAGAAGATCAGATCAGTAACGGACAGAAGATCAGATCAGTAACAGACAGAAGATCAGATCAGTAACAGACAGAAGATCAGATCAGTAACAGACAGAAGATCAGATCAGTAACAGACAGAAGATCAGATCAGTAACGGACAGAAGATCAGATCAGTACCAGACAGAAGATCAGATCAGTAACAGACAGAAGATCAGATCAGTAACAGACAGAAGATCAGATCAGTAACAGACAGAAGATCAGATCAGTAACCGACAGAAGATCAGATCAGTAACCGACAGAAGATCAGATCAGTAACCGACAGAAGATCAGATCAGTAACAGACAGAAGATCAGATCAGTAACGGACAGAAGATCAGATCAGTAACAGACAGAAGATCAGATCAGTAACAGACAGAAGATCAGATCAGTAACGGACAGAAGATCAGATCAGTAACGGACAGAAGATCAGATCAGTAACAGACAGAAGATCAGATCAGTAACAGACAGAAGATCAGATCAGTAACCGACAGAAGATCAGATCAGTAACCGACAGAAGATCAGATCAGTAACAGACAGAAGATCAGATCAGTAACAGACAGAAGATCAGATCAGTAACAGACAGAAGATCAGATCAGTAACCGACAGAAGATCAGTAACCGACAGAAGATCAGATCAGTAACAGACAGAAGATCAGATCAGTAACAGACAGAAGATCAGATCAGTAACAGACAGAAGATCAGATCAGTAACAGACAGAAGATCAGATCAGTAACAGACAGAAGATCAGATCAGTAAGAGACAGGAGATCAGATCAGTAACAGACAGAAGATCAGATCAGTAACAGACAGAAGATCAGATCAGTAACGGACAGAAGATCAGATCAGTAACAGACAGAAGATCAGATCAGTAACGGACAGAAGATCAGATCAGTAACGGACAGAAGATCAGATCAGTAACAGACAGAAGATCAGATCAGTAACCGACAGAAGATCAGATCAGTAACCGACAGAAGATCAGATCAGTAACCGACAGAAGATCAGATCAGTAACCGACAGAAGATCAGATCAGTAACGGACAGCAGATCAGATCAGTAACAGACAGAAGATCAGATCAGTAACGGACAGAAGATCAGATCAGTAACAGACAGAAGATCAGATCAGTAACCGACAGAAGATCAGATCAGTAACAGACAGAAGATCAGATCAGTAACGGACAGAAGATCAGATCAGTAACGGACAGAAGATCAGATCAGTAACAGACAGAAGATCAGATCAGTAACCGACAGAAGATCAGATCAGTCACCGACAGAAGATCAGATCAGTAACCGACAGAAGATCAGATCAGTAACGGACAGCAGATCAGATCAGTAACAGACAGAAGATCAGATCAGTAACGGACAGAAGATCAGATCAGTAACAGACAGAAGATCAGATCAGTAACCGACAGAAGATCAGATCAGTAACGGACAGCAGATCAGATCAGTAACGGACAGAAGATCAGATCAGTAACGGACAGCAGATCAGATCAGTAACGGACAGCAGGTCAGATCAGTAACGGACAGAAGATCAGATCAGTAACGGACAGCAGATCAGATCAGTAACGGAGAGAAGATCAGATCAGACAGAAGATCAGATCAGTAACGGACAGAAGATCAGATCAGTAACAGACAGAAGATCAGATCAGTAACGGACAGAAGATCAGATCAGTAACGGACAGAAGATCAGATCAGTAACGGACAGAAGATCAGATCAGTAACAGACAGAAGATCAGATCAGTAACAGACAGAAGATCAGATCAGTAACGGACAGAAGATCAGATCAGTAACGGACATAAGATCAGATCAGTAACAGACAGAAGATCAGATCAGTAACGGACAGAAGATCAGATCAGTAACAGACAGAAGATCAGATCAGTAACGGACAGAAGATCAGATCAGTAACGGACATAAGATCAGATCAGTAACAGACAGAAGATCAGATCAGTAACGGACAGAAGATCAGATCAGTAACGGACAGAAGATCAGATCAGTAACGGACAGCAGATCAGATCAGTAACGGACATAAGATCAGATCAGTAACAGACAGAAGATCAGATCAGTAACGGACAGAAGATCAGATCAGTAACAGACAGAAGATCAGATCAGTAACGGACAGAAGATCAGATCAGTAACGGACATAAGATCAGATCAGTAACAGACAGAAGATCAGATCAGTAACGGACAGAAGATCAGATCAGTAACAGACAGCAGATCAGATCAGTAACGGACAGCAGATCAGATCAGTAACGGACAGCAGATCAGATCAGTAACGGACAGAAGATCAGATCAGTAACAGACAGAAGATCAGATCAGTAACGGACATAAGATCAGATCAGTAACAGACAGAAGATCAGATCAGTAACGGACAGAAGATCAGATCAGTAACAGACAGAAGATCAGATCAGTAACGGACAGCAGATCAGATCAGTAACAGACAGAAGATCAGATCAGTAACAGACAGCAGATCAGATCAGTAACGGACAGAAGATCAGATCAGTAACGGACAGAAGATCAGATCAGTAACGGACAGAAGATCAGATCAGTAACGGACAGAAGATCAGATCAGTAACGGACAAAAGATCAGATCAGTAACAGACAGAAGATCAGATCAGTAACGGACAAAAGATCAGATCAGTAACCGACAGAAGATCAGATAAGTAACCGACAGAAGATCAGATCAGTAACGGACAGAAGATCAGATCAGTAACGGACAGAAGATCAGATCAGACAGAAGATCAGATCAGAAGATCAGATCAATAACAGACAGAAGATCAGATCAGTAACGGACAGAAGATCAGATCAGTAACAGACAGAAGATCAGATCAGTAACGGACAGAAGATCAGTACCAGACAGAAGATCAGATCAGAAGATCAGATCAATAACAGACAGAAGATCAGATCAGTAACAGACAGAAGATCAGATCAGTAACAGACAGAAGATCAGATCAGTAACAGACAGAAGATCAGATCAGACAGAAGATCAGATCAGAAGATCAGATCAGTAACAGACAGAAGATCAGATCAGTAACGGACAGAAGATCAGATCAGTAACAGACAGCAGATCAGATCAGTAACGGACAGAAGATCAGATCAGTAACGGACAGCAGATCAGATCAGTAACAGACAGAAGATCAGATCAGTAACAGACAGAAGATCAGATCAGTAACGGACAGAAGATCAGATCAGTAACGGACAGAAGATCAGATCAGTAACAGACAGAAGATCAGATCAGTAACAGACAGCAGATCAGATCAGTAACGGACAGAAGATCAGATCAGTAACAGACAGAAGATCAGATCAGTAACAGACAGAAGATCAGATCAGTAACAGACAGCAGATCAGATCAGTAACAGACAGAAGATCAGATCAGTAACGGACAGAAGATCAGATCAGTAACAGACAGCAGATCAGATCAGTAACGGACAGAAGATCAGATCAGTAACGGACAGAAGATCAGATCAGTAACAGACAGAAGATCAGATCAGTAACAGACAGAAGATCAGATCAGTAACGGACAGAAGATCAGATCAGTAACAGACAGCAGATCAGATCAGTAACGGACAGAAGATCAGATCAGTAACAGACAGCAGATCAGATCAGTAACAGACAGAAGATCAGATCAGTAACAGACAGAAGATCAGATCAGTAACGGACAGAAGATCAGATCAGTAACAGACAGAAGATCAGATCAGTAACGGACAGAAGATCAGATCAGTAACGGACAGAAGATCAGATCAGTAACAGACAGAAGATCAGATCAGTAACGGACAGAAGATCAGATCAGTAACAGACAGAAGATCAGATCAGTAACGGACAGAAGATCAGATCAGTAACAGACAGAAGATCAGATCAGTAACGGACAGAAGATCAGATCAGTAACGGACAGAAGATCAGATCAGTAACGGACAGAAGATCAGATCAGACAGAAGATCAGATCAGTAACAGACAGAAGATCAGATCAGTAACAGACAGAAGATCAGATCAGTAACGGACAGAAGATCAGATCAGTAACAGACAGAAGATGAGATCAGTAACAGACAGAAGATCAGATCAGTAACGGACAGAAGATCAGATCAGTAACAGACAGCAGATCAGATCAGTAACAGACAGAAGATCAGATCAGTAACAGACAGAAGATCAGATCAGTAACGGACAGAAGATCAGATCAGTAACGGACCGAAGATCAGATCAGTAACAGACAGAAGATCAGATCAGTAACGGACAGAAGATCAGATCAGTACCAGACAGAAGATCAGATCAGTAAC